TTGTTAAAGCTTTTGTTGAAAAAATTGTATGTTGATGGATTATTTATGCAAAAAAATGCATGTTATTATATTTTTAATGCAAAACTGTATTTTTTTTATCTGTTGTTCATGGATTTTTTTAGTTGGAATGACTGATTTGGGAATAGTCAGACGCCCACTAATATCGATGATTCGTTTTTAGATCAAATCAATGAATTGTCAAACGTATTTAATCAATGGCACCAGCGTGACCAAGAAGAACAATAACGTCGTCTATCATTTTTTTTTTAGATCGTGTGTTACTAATTTTATGCTTTATTGTAGTCCATGTATGTTGATATACTTATTCCATGATAATTCTATGTTTATCCTTTTATGTGATGTAAATTAAATGCTGAATGACGGTTCATGCAGGGAAAGAACATATCAATATTTGCATATTCATTCAAAAACATGAAAATTCTTAATGGAGTACCCTCATTTCTTATTGAATTCCTAAAAAATAATATTTATAATGAATTTTAATAATTTTTTCGGACTTTTTTGAAGCTTTATTCTGACCGATTCACCCGATTCCCGATCCGAATCGCCGATTCGTCGATTCGGATCGATTTTTTGGGAGCCCAATCCGAGTCACCGATCCATTTTTTAAACCATTGGTTTGAAGTGTACCATTGATAGCATGCCAGATATGAAAAAGTATCTTTGGACTTCTTCACACGCCCTCACCATTCAATGTTCTTGATGGAGTAGGATGTTTGTGACCATTTTGTATAAACAGTAAAGATCTCGTTGTACGCAATCCTTATAAAAAAAACAACAATATAAAAATTACACAAAAAAGGATATTGGAATAGCAGTTTCATTTCCTTTGTCACTTAAATAAGCCAGTTCTTTGATTATCTTTTTAATGTTTTCATATTAGAAACTGAATAAAAAGTTAAATGAGAAATTTCTCTGAGGAACACAACATTGTCAGGATATTAACTGAAATAATGGAAAAAATTACACATATATTTACTAATTTAAGCACTATCACAATTTCACCTAAACATTCTATTATTATTACTTTACCCATTTTATATCCGTTATTCAATATTTTGTCAATATTTTTAAAAAATAACCAAATTTCCCTTTTCGGATTTTCAAGATCCGAAATTTAATTTTGCATGGCTCCTAAGAACATGCATACATGTAATATCCAAATCTCTAAACGTAATTAGTGAAAATTTTGAAATAAAATTGTAATAACTCTTAAAATAGCAAATATATGCTACAATTTTCCCAGAAAAATATTAACAAAAACTAGACTTGCATTTAGGACCAAAAAGCATGTCACACTTACTTGGGTAGATGAAAACTGGACCCAAAGCCAAACGCATGGGCTTGAACATATTTCGTATTATAGGTAGCAAATAATTTGTACAAGTATGAGGGACCAACAATTAGATTGACAATTATCGGATGAGTTGGCAATGAGGCCTTTTACTTTCTAGGAGGTCACAATTATTTACAACCATTCAATGTGAAATTTGGAGGTCACCATTATTTATAACCATCCAATATGAAATCTGATAGCTTGGATGTGTCTCAAAATTTGAAAAAATATATTTTGGACTTTGAGCTCGGTCAATAAAATAACTACAGCTACCCAATATCACATCTAGTCATCAAGATCAATTGTGACCATCTTGTAGCAAGGTAAATGGTCTCATTATATGTTTTCCCTACTAATTATCACTACTTATGATATCGCGATAGGAAGCGCTAAATTCCCACACATATATAAATCACATAAACTATAGGTATATGCAAACCTATTGAAAATAACTTTTTCCAGAAATTGAAAACTATGGCGTATAAAAATGATAAATAAGGATGTTGCATCCACTTTCAGTCTCTGTTTTACCAATGTGATTCTCTCCTTTGTTCGTGTATACGCATTCCATAGATAAGCTCGGGATTTACTAATGGAAAAGATTTTAAAAACTAATAATCAGTGTCATTAGAGTAAATATAACCAGCCTTATTTAGAGAAAATACAACCTTTCATTCATAGATGGAAAATACCAAGCAAGCATTGGACTCAAAGCGGCTTCTTTGCCAAATCAGGAGACGGCAAACAGGCCCGAAGATGTATGTTTCTTAACCAGTCTCTCTCTCTCTCTCTCTCTCTCTCTCTCTCTCCCCCTTTGACTTCAAAACAACACCATAACGGGCAGAAACGGGAACCTGTCAACTTCTTCAGCCCTCCTAAATGTTCAACCACGTCAAAGAATCTGATGCATCTTTGATCCACCATATCCAAGAGCTCATAGCAAATTCTTGAATAAAAAACTTAAAACTGTTTCTTTTCGATGAATAATTCTGTTTTTTTCCACAAGCGCCAAGAACTCTGCAATTCCATTTTGGCTTCCTCAGAAAATTCATATTGAGTATAAGTTCCTTCCATGCTTGAACCATCTATCCTTAGAGCTTAAACCGAGAGATTTGTCAGGTGTGTAGCGATGATGTACCTACTGAGCAACTCTCTGGCTATGTTTCAGAGCTGCCCTTTTTCTGTGTTTCTACTCTGATGCACAAAAATACCCCAAAATTTCTATTGGGCTCATTCGGAATTCAAATCTTCCCTCCTTTCTTCTCCATGCTTGTATCTTCTCTTGCATGAGAGCTTAAACCAGGAGATTGCTCAGGTCTATAGCCATGAGGCCTGTACTCTCGACTGCCTGGCCATGTCTCCTCCACTAAAAACCCTCTGCTAATCTCAACCCATATCCCTAAATCTAAATTTACATCTCTCCACCTTACTTCTACAACCATGAAACGACGTTTCCGAGGAATTTGTAGGGATTGTGCCTCCTCTGCAACCTTTGCAGCCATGACCAATAACTCATCCAAAGTCAATATATTCTCATTATACACCTCGGTAACTACTGGTGATAGCCATTCCTTCTTTGGAACAATGTACCACCTGGTCTCCTCTGATTTCCTAGCAAATGTTTCGAATTCACGGACATTTGCCCACCACCCAATCCAATGAAAAGGATTCAAGCCTGATTTAGTGAGTTCAGTTCCATGAATTCCTTGTTCTTCTAAAGAAATACCGATAAATTCCATTGAAATATCAGAAATTTTGGGAGAAATATCATGCTTCCTGCGTTTCTCCAAGACTTTCCATAGCTCAAACTCATAGAACAAATATCCCTTCAGAACTGCACCTGGAATCACAGTAAGCGGGTTCTGAATGGTTTCCATGTCGTTGTTAATTTTTCCATCCGAATGCTTCAAAGATTCATTGGCTTTTTCCAAGGTGTGATCATCAGCATCTGAATGGTTATAGGTCCTCTCAAGAAATGAAGCAGCAAGAGAGTTTTTAGAGAGATAAAGCTGGTTGGAAAGACGGGACTTCCTGTCACAGAGTGTCTCTCCAATATGGGGGCCAACAAAACAGCAGAGCAAGCAAACCATGGAGAAGTTTCCAACTTGGGTTTCTCCCATTCTATTATGGCTTTCAAATAAGATATCTTCCTTGATTTTCATGGATTTCCAGGTCGCTGTGTCTGGTGTCTTCAGACCAAATGGTTCCCAGGGACCAACATAGAGCAAGAACTTCACAGAAGCTTCCCAATGGTGAACATGTGTAGCAGAAAGATAGTCAGGAGAGAGCTCTCTAGTTTTAGTGTGAGAAACAAAATCTAAGCGTTCTCTTGCTTTAGTGTGAGGAAGATGTAAGCTTTCTAACACTGGAGCTTTCTCAATGTAAATAGAACTGGGTTTGGAGAGGTTGTGAGTCTCAGAGCATGAGAATATGAAATCAAATTCACCAACAGTTCGAGTTGGGGTAGCTTTCAATTTCTTCTTGGCTAATTTATTGTGGAGCTTCTTCTGCTGCTTATTCATGCCTGTTTTAGAGAGAGAGAGTTCTTCAAGAATACTTTCCATTTCTCTCAATGAATTGGGATCCCTGTCATCCATAGCAGCAACTGGCCGAACACCCTCAGCACTCTCTGAAGGAACCCTGATGGGTACTTTTTCTGGACATCATTGCAGAGAATGTCATTTCTGGTCAAGGATACTGAAGGAAATGCTGCTAATATCCTAAACCCTGATTTTGGAAAGGAAAATTTTTTCATGCGGGCCGGACCGCATTTCTACATATGCGGTCCAGAAAGTGTAAAGCATTCATCTTAAAGATGGATGCAAGTAGATGTTCCATCTAAAAACAATGGAAACTAATGGTCCAAAGATTTTCTTACTAGAATTTTATTTTTAGGTTTTAAAATTTATTTATTTATTCATATTCATAATCTCCATGTTAGAGACTACACGTCCTTAAAAATTAAGTCTTAAAATCCATCTAAAAAATAGATTTATCAAGAGGCCCGCATTTCTACATATGCGGGCTTGGCCGCATAGAAACCGGGTCCTTTTGGAAAACACCACAGAACTAGCACTCTTGCAAAAAGAAGCAGCCAAAGTCTCATTAAAAGGATTAGAAGACATCAACTACTCATTTTCAAAGTGATAACTCTCCCTATATGCGTGTGTCAGTGAGAGAGAGAGATGGAGGGAGGGAAGTTGAAGGAAAATCACTGTTTATCAGAAAACAAGAAATGACAGTTTCTCATAATTTCAAAGACAGTTCAGCAATTTTTGTGGCTTGTAATAGTTTTTAACTTTAATTTTCTAAAAAATGTGCTATTTTGGTAATACTATCCACAATAAATGTGTTCCACAAGGGGTTGAGAAGATAAATATGTACCATCCAGTTTGTATGCTATATTTGTCTCATTGATTTGTTGAGAAATGATCAAATTGCTAAGTTTGACTGCGGGAGAAAATCGTAACGTATATTCAATGCATGCAGCAAAATGGTCTCCTACAAGAGAATACAGAAAATATAAGATCCCAGTAAAAGAACAAAGAAATCAGTAGCAAAGAAATATTTGGGTTAAGTATGGGGGATAAAATCTTCTACTCAAATGTAAATGCTGACATTGATAAAAATGGGATGGAAGAATTGGTGGACTTCCAATTTTATAAGAAAGCTTAGAAGATAGTAAGAGTACACTATTAGGACACCAAGAGAAAAAAAAACTGACTTTAACTTTGTTCTAAATAGCATCAACATTGTAAAATAGGTGAAAACACAGAGAGAATTACTCCTCAATAGCTAATCAGGCTTATTTCAAATAGCATCAACATCGTAAAATACGTGAAAACACAGAGAGAACTACCCCCTTTACCCAGTCAATAGCTAATCAGGCTTATTTCAACTAGGAAGAAAAAACAGTATGTAGAAAAGAATCAACAGCCATCATGTGTAGATGTTAGGATAAGAAGAAAAGAAAAGCGGACTTTGTTAGAACACCAAATGAAAAGAAGGAAACTGCCAATTTACCCAATCGTGTGTTCTTCTTTCGAGATCCAAACCAATCAACTAAATGCTGCACATCCAACTCTTGAAGCCACGCTTCAGAGAGCTCCCAATTTTCAGAGCTTCCACCCGTCATGTGAGAGTCAGCAGTTGGAAGCTTCAAGTCGAAAAAACATTTGTTAGGATAACCAAACATCTTGAGTATCAAGTATCCGAATTGGCATTTTACATTTAGACATCAAGAAAATCATGGTGGTCATATAATATGTGGGCAACATAATGCATGCATAGTGTATGCATATCATTAGTAGTGATTTTACCAATGAAATTATTGTACTGGTCGTGAAAAATAATAATGCAATTAATGTACCAAGGTGTGAGTGGTTGACATAATTAGGTAACCAGCTCATGATCACTAGGTTTATTTGGATATTTGTGCAGTAGGGCTCCGTTTCAACTCACTTGGGTCTCCTATCATAACTATTGGCTGCGTATGCCCTCGCAGGAGTGTTTCAGGAATTTCCTTATGAGCTTGTATAGAGATACAGCTCACATGCTTTTCACATAGATAAATATAGAAATTGGAAAAGTTTTTAATGTGTGAAGGTATACAATAAGACAGTCTACCTTTGGTTTAAAGCGGTCACAATCACCCAGGGCAGTTAGATGAGAAATTGAGCGGCTAGGACAGTGCCATAAAACGCGCTTGAAGTTTGAGAAAATTTTCAGCAGACTTTGCATGGGGAAATGACACCCCCGCTGTCTCGTTTTACATTCAACGGCTTGGGTGTTTGTGACTTTTGTGTGCACAAGGTAACTCTCTCTTTCCATAAAATCCCTTTGAATTTTTGGGATTTCCATTGAGGGGTTTTGCTATTTATGAATTGGGACTTTATCCACTAATTCTAGTCTCCTCTCAACCTATTAGAGAAATTTTGGGATTTCCAATGAGAGCTAATAGATTATCAGAAAGCACCATAACGAGACTTTGCCACACTTTCTTTCCATGTGTAGGGGAATCCCAGCACCCCAAATCCAAAAGAGTGATGAAAATCTTTAAAGCCTAATCCAAGAGAGTACAACGCAAAAAAAAAAACCGAAAACTGACTCTTTGAGGTTATATGATGAGAGGAGATTTAAGCAATCAAACCCCACACTTTACTTATTTTTGCCCTAGATCTCACCACCTGGACATGGGTAGAGTAATTTCCGACTAAAGGGAGTACTACAGATTTTTAATAGATGAATGAGGTTCACTGGTTATCTTATGGGCTGCTTGTTAGAAATGACATTGAGAGATTAGTGTTGGCATGAGTTCTTAGAACATGCCATGACAATCCAATTACAGGGAGAATATGCAAAATTCACTAACCTCAACTGAACTGAGTAGGAGGTCGGGGCATGCTATTACAAAACCGACATCTCGCACAAGCCTGCATTCCAAAGTCCATAAAAAATTTATAATTAGAAAATGAAAGATCAATGACAGTACCTATCTGATCATTCAAATTGTTTACCAAAGAAAAGAAAAAGACTCTCCATTCGCAATGAAGAATCAAAAAGTATAAATTGGTATCAGTCCAAATAAGACCCGTTTACTGGTGGCCTTCTAATAGGGCTGCAAATGGGTTGGGTCGGCCCCAACCGGGATCAGGATCCCACCTGCCAGTTATGGGGCCAAGATCTAGATACAGGCCTATGTACATAGCAGACCCAGTCCCAAATCAGACTGGGATAGATACAGGCTTGACCCGGGCCCAACCCAAGGGGTCGGGTCCAGTCCATACCTGGATTTGTGCCCCATTGAGTCGAACCAAGCGGTTCCTATTCTCAAAAACAAAAACATACTCCAATAAAAAGTGATGGAAGAAATGAGGAAGATTTATGTTATTTTCCTTCCGACAAACACTTAGATAATACTAGCTCTGTACCACAAAATATGCAGGAATATGAAGAATCTATTTCTTTGTTAATTAACAAAAAATTTCTTTGACTCTATCCAATCCATAAGTGCAACTAATTTCTTTCTCTACAAGTCAGAATGCCCAAATAATTAGATCCATATGTTAATATTCAACTCTATGAGCGGCATTAAAGATGTCTCAAGCCACGCACTGAAAATTTAAAGTTTGTATTGTGATCAATTTAGGGTTACTTCAAGAAATTATCGATAATAGAATAAGAACAAGATCCATTAAATGAAAGATGAGAAATTCAAAACTTGAAGCAGTAATAGATTTTAATTTCAGGAACCAGCATAACAAATTGAGCTGTGGAAATAAAAAATATACCCATATGGACTTTATTTTAGTCATCAACCAAAGGAGAGAAATAGAAGAACAACAAACAAAACTCCAGAAAAAACAGGCATTGATATCAAACTCACAAATCCAAGTTCGTATATTTCTGAGTTCTTCACTTGACAACGTGAACATGGAGTTTAGGGAGATGAATTGGCACAATTATATAGAGAGAGCTGATATAAAATTAACAAAACCAAATTCGTGGATTCTGATTTCTTCACTTGATAAGGCCAAATTGGAGTTCAGGGAAAATTGGAGATGAAACAGCACAAATATAGTTTAGAGAGAGAGAGAGAGAGAAAGAGAGAGAGAGAGAGAATTGTTATCAAATTAACAGACCCAAGTTCGTGAATTCTAAGCTCTTCACTTGATAACAAGGAATTGGAGTTCAGAGAAAATTGGAGATGACATGGCTTACACACAGAGAGAACTGATATTAAATTAAGAAACCCAAGCTTCTAAGCTTTCGAGTTCTTCAGCTGAGAATGCGAACATGGAGCTTAGGAAAAATGGAGATAAGATGGCAAAATCATAGTTTTGACTTAGAGAGATGATATAAAATCAACAAACCCAAGTTAAGGGAGAGATGACATCAAATCAATAACCCAAGTTCAGTGAATTTCTGAGTTATTCATTTGATAACGCTGAAATCGCACATCTATGGTAGAGAGAGATTTGTGTTACTTGTTGGGTAGGGATTTGAGGAAGTTCCATCCATGTGAGGAGGCTGCCATCTGAGAATGAGAATGCATTTTGTTTTTGGGTTTGCAGCAGCAGAGATTGGTTTCGTGCATGGAATGTGCTCAAACTTCATCATTCTTTCCTCTTTAAACTTCATCTTTCTTTCTTTCCTTCCTTCTTTCTTTATTTAGTCTTATCTCATTTTATTTCTTTATGGAGCCAAATAAAAAGGGATTGCATCATGCAATCGACCATTTTAGATTGGGAATGCAGCCAATTAAAAGGGATTGTGTTTGTCTTCTGGAAGGCCAATTAGAGTTGTTAAATTGTCATAAAATTTGATAATTGTTCATGGGAAAATAGTTTGATAGGTTTGCAGCCCCGTCAAATTTTTGAATCAGTAAACCCTCACTTCATAACTCATTAAAAATTGCAATTCAAGCATTCGAAAACCTTTACATCGATCATCTTGACATGAACATTATGGTTCTCAGGAAAAAAATAGGACATCAAGCTTTGAAAATAAATAGGATATCAAGCTTTGAAAATAGTGTATATTACAATAAATTATCTAAACTGACCATTTCGCCTTAAAAATAAGTGTTATCATATCTGCAAAACTTGTATTATTTTTTAGTTTTAAATTTTATTGATGGCGTTGGGAATTGATTTTAGAGCTCTCATAAATATTTATGTTGGTGAAAGTGCTTTCTAGATTAGGATTTGAGGTGAGGCTTTATTTTATTTTCATAAGACGTAGGTCTTATAGAAACTTCATCCATTGGAGGGTTCTCCAACATAACCCTCTCTTCTAGAGGATTTTTAAGGTGTAATTTGCTTCAATCATATAAGATTGCATTACAATGTTTTATATTTAATTTTTCTATAAAACATTTTGACACCAAAATTTGGATGTCCACTCCTCTCGTAAACTGAACCGAAAAAATATATATATTTAAAAAATACTCTTGATAACATAAAATAACCAAATACCCCTAAAAATAAGTGTTCTCGGATCCGCAAAACTTGTACTATTTTTTAGTTTCAAAATTTATTGATGGTGTTGGGAATTGATTTTAGAGCTCTCATGAATATTTATGTTGCCAAAAGTGCTTTCTAGACTAGGATTTGAGGTGAGGCTTTATTTTATTTTCATAAAGCGTAGGTCTTATAGAAACTTCATCCATTGGAGGGTTCTCCGACATAACACTCTCTTCGAGATGAGGTGTAATTTGCTTCAATAATATAAGATTACCATTTTATATGAACTTTTTCCAATATAAATACAGGAAAGCATTTTATTTTCCCCCTATTATATATTAGTTATACACTTCCCCTTATCCAGCCTTCTGATCTAAATAGACAGCTGAGATTGACCCAATCACAATGTCACGTCATTACAGTGTTTTATATTTAATTTTTTCTATAAAATATTTTGACACCAAAATTTAGATGTCCACTCCTCTCATAAACTCAAGAGGAAAAAAAAAATATTAAACAAATAGAAAATACTTCTGATAAAATAAAATAACCAAATACCCTTAAAAGTTTTAAGGGTATTTTGGTCATTTTTATTTAAAAAATTTATTTGAATATTTGTTTTAGGTGTCCCTCATTAAGATAATAGCACACACCAATTTCATATCTATATGATCTGTAAAAAAAAATTAAAAATAAAATACTCTGAAGCATTGGATTTAAATCACACGATTAATAGCTCATTTGATCTAAATTGAAAAGCTAGATGATAACAGACGAATATAAATTATATAAAACAAAGAAAGTATAGAAAGCTGTCCCTATAAAATAGCTTGCGTAAGAGTCCAACTGAGGTGAATTAAGGACCCCTATTCTGGTCTCTCTCTTCAACTCACTGAGAGAGAGAAAATGTGGATTAAATAAGGGCGTGGCGGTGCTACTAATAACCTAGCCCAGAAAAACTAAGATCTAGACCATAAAATATGGCTCGAGGTCAGGGCCAGGTCATTAGGACCCGAAAGTAGGATCGGGCCGAGCCTGGGCAGAGATGCCTGATATAAGGGACAAAACAAGATTAGGTTGGCTCCCATGCAAACCCATCCTTTGTAATTTTAACCTAATTAAAAATACATTCCTGTCTATTGGAATTCATATCTAACAACAGGTTGGGGCATATAAGGTTCGAGAAAAAAAAAATTTATTTGAAGTCATTTAAAGGTAACCCTCGTTCACTTCACATTAACCCGGTGACCACCTTGTGACTATGGTAATGTCCTTTCCATTTTAATCACTCAATTTCCCCCTCTCTAGCTTAAAAACATGGATTGATCCACCAGCTGGACAGGTTTGAAACGATCCAGACTGGATCAGATCGTTTCAATTGGTTCCACTTAAAAACGGAAGAAAATAAAAAATTAGTAATTGGGTAAGTAAACCGATTGTTAAAACTTCGAAGTTCAAGCTCAAAAGACAGGACTAATTAAGGACAATGAAATAAACTTGAATATTTGATGGTTAAAAGTTATAAAGATTTTGATAGATTTCCCTCTAAGAAATGAGGAAACCAAGTCCCCAGCTCGGAGATTAAATACATGCGGCTAGGGACTTCCACCCCAAAAATCTCACAAAAGAAATTTATCAAAATACACCTCATTTCAACACATCTTACCTTTCTTCTACTATTCCAAGTCAAAATCATGTGTATTTTAATAGGCATTTTGTAATTAAGAAAATTTACATAGAAATCCTACTTTACTTTTTACATTTAAAAATAGTCACATATATTTCATATTTTACAATCAAGTCTCATTTTTTAGAACATAAAATATATTTTAATTTTATTATTTTTTTTATACATTAGATTAAACTCAAATTTGGTATGTGTACTCGATTGATTTAAATAAAATGTGAGAAAAACATGTGGAGAGGTCATCTATTATTTCCTCTTGGGCACAATAAGATTTGCTTTCAAACGGCCTACAATGTCGTGTGCGTGTGTGTGTGTGTGAGAGAGAGAGAGAGAGAGAGAGAGAGAGAGAGAGAGAGAGAGCTC